CTCTTCTGCAGTGGTCTCCGAGTCTTGCATGGAGGAGTTGTGTTGTAGATGTATCAGATGTGGACTGGGCTCCACCACTCTGCACTGTGATTGGTTGCAATTTTCTGTAGTGGTCTCCATCTGTTGCAAAGAGAAGTTTCCTTGATGTGTGGTGTTGTCCTTTTTAGAATGTTCCTAGAGATTGTCCAGCAGGTCTATTATATACAGCATAGGGGGAAGGCATTAGCTAGTTTCCATAAGAGTTCTCTGTAGGGAAGCAGCCTCAGGTTGTAGACATTTGGGAGGAAGAAACTACAATTTCCAGGATAACCAGTGTTCTCCATCATGCCTGGCTTACTCTCTGCTTCCTTGCTTGTTTCCTTGACAAGTTTATTGAAGTAAAATTGACATGCAGTGAAATTCACCTCTCTTAGATGTAGGATTCAATGAGTTTAGAAAATCATATTCAGTTGTCTAGCCGGAACCACTCTGAATATAGAATATTTTCATTACCCACACAAATTTTGTTACAGTCTTTCTTGCCTCTTTCAGAATGTCTTTTCTCTTAGCATAATCTTAAAGCAGGGTTCTCAACTTGTGGGTTGCAACCCCTTTGGGGGCCGAACAACACTTTCACATGGGTCACCTAAGACCACCAGAAAATACAGGTATTTACATTACAATTCATAACAGTCGCAAAATTACAGTTATGAAGTAGCAATGAAAATAACTCTATGATTGGGGGTCACCATAGCATGAGGAACTGTATTTAAGGGTCGCAGCATTAGGAAGGTAGAGAACCACTGCCTTACAGCATGTTGTGTAACAGTTTCCTCCGACATTGAAACATTCTATCCTACAGGGACGCTCCTTAAGCAGGAAGGTAAACAATTTAAAATAGCTTCAGGAAGTTCCTGAACCTGACCAGATCCACTAGGCTCCTCCCTGCCAGAGTAAGCAACAAAAGCTGAGAGTCCCCCTCAGAAGAGCCAAGCTGCCAAGAAGTGTCTTAGACAATCCAAGCTCTGAGACCAGATCTGCTGCCTGGAAGAAGTAGAAACCAGCTGAGCTGCCTGGAAGACCTTTAGACCATAGTCACCTTGAAAAGACACTGTCTAACCTGTTGAGCTGCCTGAACGCTGTGCAGTGAGCTCCAAGCTTTCCAGCCTTTGTGAGCTGTCACCCTTGCCAGAGTGGGCTTTGGTGATGCAGCTGTCTCTGAGTCATCTCTGCTCCTGTGAGGAACCCCTCCCCCATATTCCTGTACGTACGCCCAATAAAGCTCATGGCTCACCAAGTTGGTTTGTTGGTATCCCTGGCTTTGGTCTGTAGTGGACTCCTTATCTGGGCTAAGCAGTCACGCGTGTAGCATCTCTCCAGGACAAGTTTTGTCATGCAACATAATTGGTGCCAGAACAGGGACGTGACAAAACCAAAGAGGAGAAGTGAGTGTATGGTCCTGGCTATGAGTAGCAAGGCATGCAACTGAGGTTGAAAAGCCCGAGTGGGGAGCCTCTGTGGAGGTAATTCTGATACAACTGTCTTTTCCTGTATGCTGTGTATTAATGTGCCTTTGTGCTATGGCAGCTGTTGCATGGTTCTTGTTATGGACAGTGAGACATTCAACTAAGGCTAAGCCATCAAAATTAGGAAGAATCCTGGGACGGCAGTCTTTGTCTATGTGGTATGGAGTGGCATGTCTGCTTGATAAGTGGGGTTCATGACAGTATTATGGAGATACCTTGGAAACAGTTAAAGGTCAGAGGAAACTTTATAGTCTTTGAGATTGGCACACAAGGATTGAGATTGTTAGCAAGGAGCAGCAGAGGTTGCCTGGCCACAGTGGTGCATAATTAGAAATGTATCTGAGGCCAAGATGGCAGCCAAGAAGAACTTGTCTGTGTAAAGGACCAATTGCAACAAGAAAGGTAGAAATGGCTAACATCTTTTGTGTTAGCCTCTGATTTGGAAATTAGATAAACAAGAAGATGAGCGATGGTAAGGCTGTGTAGGAGATCCCTCAAGTGCAGTCTAATGTATAAAAAGAGGGGAACTCTGTGATCCAATATACAGATAGGGGTCTGTGAAAGAATGGCCTCCATAGGAACATATTTTAATATGCTTAATCATCAGGGAGTGAAAGTTTAGAAGATGTGGCCTTGTTGGAGTAGGTGTGGCCTTGTTGGAAAAAAAATGTGTCACTGGGGGTGGCCTTTGAGGTTTAAAAAGCCCATGGCAGGGGGCGGGAGGGGGAGGGGGTGGCGCACACCTTTGATTCCAGCACTGGGGAGGTACAGCCAGGCAGATCTCTGTGAGTTCAAGGCCAGCCTGGTCTACAGGGCGAGATCTAGGACAGGCACTAAAACTACACAGACAAACCCTGTCTCAAAAAAGCAAGCAAACAAACAAAGCCCATGACAGGCCCAGTGTCTCTATGGGTCTATAGATCAGAATGTAGCTCTTAGCTACTTCTCCAGCACCATGCCTGCCTGCCACCATGTTCCCTGCCTTGATAATAATGGACTAAGACTCTGAAATTATAAACAACCCCCAATTAAATGCTTTCCTTTATCAAAGTTGCTATGTTGTCATGGTCATGGTGTCTCCTCACAGCAATAGAACAATGACTAAGACAGGGCATTTACAATGGTCCTGTACACTGGGCAGTGGTGTCACATGCCTTTAATCCCAGTGTTGTGCCCTGGGCATGAGACCCCCCCAAAGAGACCACCGGAGACATGAACTCACCGAAATGCAAAAGCGAGGTTTATTAGAGCAGTTCAAGCTATACGGCAGGGACCTCAGTCCAGCACCCCGACGCAGCGGAGACTAGAGGGGGTGCCCACCCCTCTGCAAGCTCAGTTTTTAAAGGCAAAAACCATAAGGTTACATCATTTAGGGGTGCTAGTATGGGTACAATTCTGATTCACTCAAGTTTTAGGGGCCTTTAGAATTTCTGTGTTATCTTACTTTGTAGTTTTAACAGGTTGTTTGTCAAACTTTACAGATTACCTCCAGCATTGGGGTATTCTATGGTTAATCAGTTGCTACCAGATGGCTCTTAAAACATCCTGACTTTGTCCTGGGACCTATGTCAGCAGCTCTGAGAATTTTGAAACTCAGGCCTGTTTCACACTGGGGTGAGGGGCTTGCTAGAAATGGGGGTGCTTCGGTTCTTCACCAGCTCTCTGGAGAAAGAGGCAGCCCAGTCTCTGAGTTCGAGGCCAGCCTGGTCTACAGAGTGAGTTCCAGGACAGTCAGAGCTACACAGAGAAACCCTGTCTCAAAAAAAAAAAAAATCATGCCGGGCAGTGGTGGCACATGCCTTTAATCCCAGCACTTGGGAGGCAGAGACAGGTGGATCTCTGTGAGTTCAAGGCCAGCCTGGTCTCCAAAGTGAGTTCCAGGAAAGGCACAAAGCTACACAGAGAAACCCTGTCTCGAAAAAAAAAAAAAAATCAAAACTAAACCGAACAACAAAACAAAACAATGGTGCAGTGTGAGAAACTAGGATGATCAGGAAATGCTCAGTGCTTGAATTGCTAGAATTAGGGGAGACTTTCAAAGAAGTAATGAGAGAGCATCTAACAGCATGCTTTTGTGAGGCTGTGGGACATGAGAGCAGATGGGATCAGTCTGACTGCTGTGGAGGCAGAAAACTGAGTAATGTAACTTCTCACCCCTGCTTAGGGCAAAGATCGAATAACCTGAAACAGTGTGAGGAAAACCAGTCCCTGATGGACTGACTTATCAGAACCATTGGGAACACTTGGTTATCTCTGTCTACAGTCCCCATAAATGCCTGGGAATGGAAAACAATAGAGGGGGGACAGACACTATTGAGGGAACTAGGAATAAGAGAACCTGTGTTTGAACCCCAGTTCACTGACCCAGGTAGAACTGTGTTCAAAGAGGAGTTAAGGAGCAGGTTGATTCAGCATGGACCTTTAGTGGTATTGCTGAGCCCTTTGGTGGGAGAGGATCTTTATAAGTAGGAAAGGCTTTGGCAGATCTCAGTGACTTAGACCAACATGTAAAGAGTGCCCACCAAGTGAGAGAGCAACCTAGAGGAGACTTTCAAAAATGGTAAAGCAGAGGAAGAGATCTGTCTGGGTTATTGGAAGACAAATGTGGCAAGATTTGTGTTGAGCCAGAGTTCCTAAGGAAAAAAATTGATAGAAAGGCAAAGTTGTATGCTAATGAGCTTCTGGAAGGCTTTAAAGCTGGAGCACTTCACAGAAGACATTCATTCTAAAACAAAACCAGTGACAACCATAAAGCCTGCCCCAGGGGTGGGTAATTATTCCCCCAGACTAAGGAGGGAACATTTCCCTCCAGCCCAAGGTTATGCCAAGGGTGGAGATGGTTTGCCCAGCCAGGAACTTCCTCAACAGCCAGGTATGGTGGATAGAAAGGCCACAGCTACAGCTACATCTACGGTGCCACCCGCAGGCCACTCAGACCCAAGGAGGAGCAGGTGCGGCAAGGGAGAGCAGGGTCATGCTCCCCCTTGGCTCTGTCTGAGCTGACTAAGTCAGCCCACTGAGATCATCAGGTAGGGAGAAATGTAGGGAGGTTATGTGGAAGAGCTCCAGGTTATTATGAAAAAGTAATGCCTTAGAGAGAATGACTGAGGATTACAGAGAACTAATTACATTAAAACCCCCATCCATGCTTTGTACCCAACCTTGATCTGCAGAGGAAAAATTGATACAATGGATGGAAACTTTCCATGCTGTGGGTGGACCTTGCTTATGTTTAACTTTAGTATCTTTTTTTTTTTTGCCACTGTATTATTTATTTATTTACTTTACAAAGTTTGTTAGAATGTACAACAGGCTCTGGGATAACACTTCATTCTAACTATTAGGTGGCAAAGATGTTATAGTAGGGAATCCAGATGTTGAACAGGCTCCAGAATAACACTACATTCTTGGCAAAGATGTTATGACAGGGAATCCAGATGTTTAAATAGGAATGGAAGAGGCTCACCATCATCTCAGGTTTGAGGAACAGCTTACTTTTTGCCAGATTTCTTAATTCCACCTGTGGCCAGGGGTCCCTTGCCCACGGCCTTGGCTTTTAGCTCCTCAAGTTTCTTCTGCTCCTCCTTCTGTTTCTGCTTGAAAGCCTTATCTTCCTCGTCCATCTCCTTGGCCTGCTTCTTGGGCTGTTTCAGGGGCTTCTTTTTGCCATCTTCATGGCCCGACATGGCGCCTACAGACAGCCCCTTCACCAGACCCCGATCCTAAGCCTAACTTTAGTATCTTCTTAAGTGTAGCTGGCAGTCCGACAGCCCACTTATAAAATAAACACACAGACGCTTATATTATTTACAAACTGTATGGCCATGGCAGGCTTCTTGCTAACTGTTCTTATATCTTAAATTAATCCATTTCCATAAATCTATACCTTGCCACGTGGCTCATGGCTTACCAGCATCTTCACATGCTGCTTATCATGGCGGTGGCTGGCAGTGTCTCCTCCCCCCTTCCTGTTCTCTGAATTCTCCTCTGTTAGTCCCGCCTATACTTCCTGCCTGGCCACTGACCAATCAGTGTTTTATTTATTGACCAATCAGAGCAATTTGACATACAGGCCATCCCATAGCACTTAAGGAGTTGTGAACTTCTGGGATCACCTGAAACCGGCTCAGAAGAGATGACAGCCAACTTTCAGAGGGTTTAACCAGGCTTATTTTTGTAACCCCACTATTTGTTATTAGATGGTAGTTCAAGATGCTGCCTTATCCTACCCATCCTCTGAAAGAGGTTTATTATACAGATGACGGAATACTAAACTGAGTATTTTGCAGACTTGGAAAGCCATAGGAGAGACAACCAGACACAATGGTACTTTTACTTACCTTATAATCCTGATGGGGCTATGTTAATTTAAAAAAAAAAAAAAACCTAAAAGGTACCCTACATGGGTTAAAAAAGGACACTGTCAGAGGTCATAAAGTTATTGAATAAAAAAACCTAAGTGCCAGGGGTAGGCTACATCCTTGTGAGTTGTTGGCCAAGGAAGCTCCTGAGGCCCCCCAAATCATAAAAGCTATTAGTACTGCTGTTGGTTATATGCCACAGTTAGATGGTAAGACCCTATGCAGAAGACACTGCATGTGCATGCTGTGGCTGCAGGACATGCAGATATCAAGCTGAGAGTGAACGGGAAACTCCCACCGTGCTGGCTGGCTTCTATAGTGTCAGAGGAGGCCACACAGGCTGCTGGTAGAGCATTCTTACTTGGCTGTAGACCCTGCATGCTAAGTACTGACTTGTAAGGCAAGATGTGCCTGACTGTACAATAACGACTCAGCTATCTTGGATAAGACCAACAGCGTTCTGACTGGATTTAAGGCCTGCTCCACGAGAGGGAGTTTACATCTGGTATTGTAAACTCTGGGATTAAAAAACTGTGGCTGGGGAGGTCACAGGATCCAATAGGGGAAGAAACTTGTATTGTTTTCCTAGATAGATGTGATATGTCTGTCTAGTTCCCTTCTAAAACATGTGTGCTTGTACCCACTGATCACTGTTATTATCAACCTCAACTTAAAACCATAGATGCTGTTGAAAACAAGTGGCCTAATTCTTAGCCATAGGTAGACATCTATAGTCAACCCCCGCCCCAAGGCTCAGGGATCATTGCCAAAGAGGAGGCAAAAAAAATGTAAGAGCTAAAGGAAGGGGTGGTGTTGCGTGCGTTTCCTCCCAGATTGAAATATTCCATCCTGCAGGAAAGCTCTTTAAAGCACAGAGGTAAACAACTTAAAATGTTTCAGAAGTTCCTGAAACTGACAAGAATCACGAGGTCCCCTCCCTGCCAGAGTAAGCAATAAAAGCTGAGAGCCCTTTTCAGAAGAAGCCAAGTTGAAAAGAAGACTGAGACCAGATCAGCTGCCTGGGAGAAGCAGAAACCAGCTGAGCTGCCTGGAAGAGGTTTAGACCAGTTACCTGGAAAGGACATTCTCTAACCTGTTCATGTTCCCGAGGGTGGTACAGTGTGCTCCAGGTTCCTAGTTTTTGTGAGCTGTCACCTGTTCTGTGGCTGGCCTTGGTGATGCAACTGTCTTTTGAGTCATTTCTTCCCCTGTGAGTAATCCTTAACCCATATTCCTATAAGATACTTACGTTTAGCTGTATAAGCAGCAGCCAGCCCTTTTTAGTGTGGCTACAAATTTTTGCATTTCCGCCAGCAATGAATGAGTATTCCAGTTGCTCCTCATGAACATTTACCACTATTTTTTGCTTTTAGCTATTCTCATAGCATGTAGTACTATTTCATTGTGGTTTAATGTACACTTCCCTAGTGCCATGTGGCGGTTTGAAAGAGAATGGCCCCCATAGGTTCATGTATTTCAACACTTGGTCCCCACTTGGTAGAACTCTTTAGGAAGAAGGATTAAGACGTGTGGTCTTGTTAGAGGAGGTGTGTTACTGGGGGCAGACTTGAGGTTTCAAAGGCCCAGGCTATGCCCAGATAGCTCTCCTTTTGCCTCCTGCTGTGGCTCAGGATGTAAGCACTCAGCTGGTGCTCCAGCTCCATAGCTGCCTGCCTGTTGCCATGCTCCTGGTCATGATGGTCATGGTCTCACCCTCTGAAACTGTCAGACCCAATAAACTCTTCTATAAGTTGCTTTGGTTACAGTGTTTCTTCACAGCAACAGAATAGAAAAGTAACTAAGACGGCCATGGTGGCACACATCCTGACTAGATGAGTATGGACTTCATCCTGCAAGGCAAGTTTGGTATCAATTTCAATTAATTAAACAAAAGCATTCCAGTACTCCCTGCTAACAGCATCTTTATTTCCAGGGGGAAATGCATATATCTTAAACAGTACTTTTTCCATGGTGTAGTTTGCTTTTACAAGGGCAGTCACAGTATGCCATCCTAAGACTTGCAATTCTTAATCACTATGCCATGCTGTTCTCACAGGGTTCTTTCTCTCAAGAGCCATCTCTAATAGGGCAGCACTTTGAAGGCTTCCTGTTTCCTCTCCTCCCGTGGGGAACCTGCTTCTCCTGAGGGCTACTGCTCTGATTATGCCTTCCCCATTCCCAGATGGCTGATTATAACTGTTTTCCACCGTTCACTCCACGGTTCTGCACCTGAAATACCACTTGCCACCAGGTCTGTTCCTCAGCTTCCTCTTATTAACTGTTCTAACTTGAGAAAACCAGACCTTCTCCTAGACCCTGTACCTCCGCTTGTTTTTAGTAACCAACTTTTAGAAAGGTGGTCTTAGCCACCGAGCCATCTCCTCAGTCCCAGTTCTTGGTTTCATATTCAAGGAACTGAAATAAAGGCTCACAGGTTGTGAAAGTAGCAAGGTAACTTTATTCAAGCAAAGCAACAGTACAGATCATGAACCAAGAGTGCAAACAGGCCCTGCAGTGACAGCTCAGTAAGAAGAGCATTTACAGATATGAGGACATGAGTTTGAATGACTAGTACCCACAATAAAAAACAAGAGAAACGGCTCGGAATGGTGGTTCACACCTTTAATCGCAGCACTAGGAACAGAGATAGGAGGATCTCTGAGCTTGAGGCCAGCCTGGTCTACAAAGCAAGCTCCAGGATAGTCAGGACAACATAGGAAGACACTGTCTCATAAAACCCACAGCCAGGCAGCACTCAGCCTGCAACCCTGGTGTTGCAGGGCAGATAAGTAAGTCAGCCAGCTTAGCCAAAATGGGCAGTTTCTGGTTTAGTGGAAGACCCTGTTTTAGAATAAGGTGTAGAGCAATAAAGTAACAGTATAGAGAAGGGCGGGTTACTAAGAGGTGGAGTTTGGGTGGTTTTCTACTTGGACAGATTTGTTTTATATAACCATCTTGCTTCAGTGCAAGATCTTTTCCATAATACATCTGATTTTAACCACTGGCACGCTCAGTTATGCACAAATGATGGTAAACATGGGAGTCTCCCTAAAGCTTCACTTAGGGAGTTTGCCTTATGGCACATAAAACTCAAACAAATTCAGGCCCCATCTATGTGTAAGTAATATTGATGGCTTTGAGGGAAGAGTCTTACTCCACTGTTCAGAATGGGCTATATGGACAGAATGTGTGCAGTTAAGGAATGTGTCCATGCATAGCCCAAACCAAGTGGAGCCCCAGGTTGCTAATTACTCAGTTGTCTGCTTCATTGGGATTTTAGTAATCCTCTCAATGACAGGCTTTCACTCTGTAGCCCTGGCTGTCCTGGAACTCAAGAGAAATCCATCTGCCTGTCTACCTCCTGTGTGTTGGGATTTTAGTAAAGTCTTCAGTTTTGTTTTTTTTTTCAAGATAGGGTTTCTGTGTAGCTTTGCTTCTTTCCTGGAACTCACTCTGTAGCCCAGGCTGGTCTTGAACTCCTGGAGATCTGCCTGCCTCTGCCTCCCAAGTGCTGGGATTAAAGGCGTGAGCCACCACTGCCCAGCGAGATTCTTAAATATTTAATCCAATCTTAAAAATTATCCTTCTACCTCAACATCTAGTCAAAGTTACTTCAAAGACATGAATGAGAGCCCTGTAATGTCTCCCACAGAACTGCTTTGGTGGAGGAATACAATTCTCTCTACACTTATTTAGGTTAGGATGTGGCCTTCTTGACACAAGCAACCTCATTTATTTTGGTTCAGTCTGAGAGGACAGTCCAGCAAGGCAAGGAAGATACAAGTACAGCAAAGGGTGGCCACAGGAGGGGCAGCTGGTCACACTGATCTGCAGAAGCATTGGTAAGTGATGCTCAGCTCAGCTGGTGCTTCTGCACTACAGCTGGCCCACATCAACTTTTGATCAAGACAGAGGTGGCAAGAGGGAGAATTGGGGCTGGCAAGATAAGAAAAGTGTCACAAAACCTTTACTTGGCCTGGCCTTCCTGCCACACATGACAAATAGGAAACAAGGGTGAGACCTGGGGAAGAGAGACATTTTTGAGGTCATCTAGCATGCACCAGGCTCAATTTGGTCTCCCACTCGATGTAAGCAGCAGGGCAACCTGGTTTCATGTAGTTCAGAATGGCCTCACTCCCTAGTTCCTCATGCCTCTATCATCCCAAATAAGACCATGAACCCCTCACCACCCTTATTTACAAACCAAAAAATTTAACACTTTTGCAAAATACTTTAAAAAGTTGATTTCTGTTCAAGTTTATAATACCTGAGCATAGCCAGGTGTAGTGGTTCAAGCCTTTAATACCAGCAATAGAAAGGTAATCAACTCTTTTGAGTTACATACAGGTCTGCCAAGTCTATCATGAGACCTTGTCCCAGAAAAAAAAAAAAAAAAAAAGCAAAATGAAAGATAAAATAGCTAGGCATGTTGGCACACATCTGTAACCCCAGCACTTGACAGTAGTAGCAGGGCCACACAAGTTCAACATTAACCTAGTCTATGAGTTCCAAGCTAGTTCTGGCCAGTTGGATTAGAAACCTTGTATTTAACAACAACAAAAATTGGTAAGCGCCAGGCCATCTCTTCAGCCAGTCATTAGAGAGAAACTGTCTTGAAAAAACCCAACCCAATCCAAATCTAGACTTTAGAAGTGAAACTGAATCTAGGTACACTCTATCCTAAACTTGGCAGTCTTATCATTGCCCATTCTGTGCCTACAGTTTTTTCAAAACCTATTACATATAAGAACCACCACCATGGCAACAAATTCTCCCACAGGCATTAGCTAACAGATGAGCTCACCTTTATGCTTGGTAACACTAGCGCTTTTCTTTAAGAAGCACCACCTACCTTGTGACTTTGCACTCACTTTTCCATCTCTAGATTCACTCAAGTCCAGATACCCAGCTCAACTCCCACCTGGCTCAATGTCTGATTTATCCTAGAACTTACCTATTTTAACCATTAGAAACCATACAATAGGGGCTGGAGAGATGGCTCAGCAGTTAAGAGCACTGACTGCTCTTCCAGAGGACCTGAGTTCAAATCCCAGGAACCACATGGTGGCTCACAACCATCTGTAATGAGATCTGGTGCCCTCTTCTGGCCTGAAGGGACACATGCAGACAGAACACTGCATAAATAATAAATAAATCTTTAAAAAAAAAATAAGCACATACAATAGACCATAATCTTAACAATCCTATAGGCTATTCAAGGTGAAATGTAAATTGTCAAAAGCAATTTCATGCCCTTGAACCTGGCACCTTTGGAGTAGTCTCATATACCAACCAACACCTAAATTAGCAACTTAAACACAAGTTTTTAAAAAAGTCTCACTGTGTAGCTGTGGCTGGTCTCAAACTCAGATCTGTCTACTTCTAAGTGCTGGGAATAAAGGCGATACCATCTTGCTTGGCTTTATCTAAGTAAATGTTATGTTAAACATCTGAAACTTTAGGATGAATCAAGAGCTCAAAAGCAGAAATGCAGGGATTACAAATACCCCCATCCACGACGGCTTGGCTCAGGATTTTATGGGTTTTTCAAGTCCCTTACAGATTGTAAGCACCTAACATACCCTAGACATGGTAGGGATTAATAATTTAGGCTGCACAAACAGTTCAGCTATTTTACATAACCATTCCAGTAACTCTTTTTAATGGTTGTCTTCCCTAGCAAGCCTTCTCACTCAGCTCATCACCTCCATGCCCAGGGCCAAGCAAACAGGATGGGTCGTAGGGCAGGTTTCCCAAGTGAGAATTCACCCAGCCCCCACCCCTATTCAGCCCCACTGGAACTAACCTTAAGTATGAAGGCCTAGTTCTTAGCATGCTACTAAAAGAAACACATTGCAAAGTAATCACAAACCAAACACTGAAACGACATTAAAACACCTTAGCACACCACACACTGCTTTTGAAACCAGAACATTTATTTTATGACTGACTGAAATTCCTCAAGATGAACTGGATGCTGCAACAGCTGCCCTCTTGGGTTTAGGTGTTGTCCCTTCACGGAATCCATGTCTGTGCCATGGTAAAGACAAGAAAAGTTAATGTAGCAACATCAACACATTACTTGCAATTTCATCAAACCTTAGTAAGCTTATCTCAGTTAGATGCTGAAATCAGTATTGCATTCATATGTTCAGACATTTATTTTTAGAACATCACTGATAAGCTATTATTTTATCCCACTTAAGACACATTAGATTACAATCTACTGACTCAAAAATAAAGGCTCAACAATTTTGGGCTCATTTCCCACCGATTTTCACAAGAACCAAGGTATTTATAACAGCTATTCCTTATGCTGTAAAGGGCAGGTCCAAATCTTTCCTCAGGGAGAGAAAACAATGACCTAGCAGCACCTTTGAAGCTGATCACCAAGACGGCTAAATTATGGTTAACTCCTACCTACTCTAGGAACCTCATTTTATGAAGGTGAGTGATCCCAAGCACAGAAAGGTTAAACAGGCTTAAAACAGCCTTAGATTATGAAACATTAGCAAACCACTACACATCAAGCCCACAAAACTGCAATTCTGTAAGTGTAAATACCAACACAAACATTTACAGCCTCACACTGCCTTGTGACCTTCAAAGTTAGGTCCCACCCCAGACTGTCTAGTTCAAAGCTGCACATCGCCCAAACCCCGCTTTCCTATGGGCAGCCCAGCCCCCACAGCAGACTGCCCCAAAACCCTTGTTTTAGAACCGCTGGAACAGCAGTGATGGAAGCGGCACAGGTGTACGCCTGCGTCATTTTCAACCTTGGTGGAAACTGACAGGGTTCGTTCTATAGAAGCAACTGCCCAAACTACAGATCCTGAAGAAAAGTCTAAGATGGGGCTGAGAATTCTGTATTTTTACAAAATACAAAGGCCCAGGCTCCAGGAAAAAACTAATCAATCAAACAAACAAAAAGCCCCTATCTAGGTTGTCATGACTGCTGACTAGCACCCAGAACAGCTTTGGATAGTAAAATCCAAAGTGAAAACTGAACCAAGCAAGCAAGCTGCCTGCCAGACCCCATTCGAAGAACAAGTCTTGACAAGTCTGGGTGTTTCATAGACTTTTAAGGGGGAAAAAAACCCAAAACAAACAGAAAATAAACCAAAAAAATTTCAGGCCACAGTATCATTTCTACTATTCACCAGAGTGACAAGTCACAGGACAACTCTCATCCCACCCTCGAGAGCCAATGACGTGCAAACAAAAACTGTACCTGAATCTTCGATAGACAATTTTCAGGTGCCTCATCCGCCCAGTCCCGGTAGTGTTTCGTCTCTTAGCCTTGGCACTCCAGTTATCTAATGAAACAAGATGCCAAAGGTTTTTCCAAGCACCCAGTGTCAGCCAATTTCCTCAGAAGCGTCATTTCGATGTTCTAACCACTTAACCAACAAACTGACCGCCAAAGTTCTGTTATGTACCAAATAACAAAATAAAAAAAAAGCAAAGGGTTCTCTATCACATCCCTACCACGGGTCGAGGCAAAACCAGTCTGAAGATCACGGTACTTACACTTTCTCTTGCGCTTGGCCGGGTAGCCACACTTGCCACAGGTCGACTTCTGAAGGTGGTAGGCCTTGGAGCCGCAGCGGCGGCAAAGCGTGTGCGTCTTGTTGCGACGCTTTCCAAAGGATGACGTCCCTTTCGTCTGCACAAGGAAAAAGCATTAACAGGCAATTTTGAAACCCGACAATCTCTCCTTGTGCTCTGGCATTTTCACGGGACACGACTACTGATGCGATGTAGCGACAAGGACACGGGACACAACGGGGCAACAAAGCTTTTCAGTTCTTCATCCAAGGGGAGGGAAAAAAAACCCACGACAGGTAATTCACACGCTCTAACGCCCCGCACGGACGTCTGTGCTTCTACGCGCTCTTTGCTTTTAAGCGTTCCGGGTGAAGACTAAAGAAGGTGCCCGCCTTCCCAGCTGCAGCTTTGGAAAAACCACCTCCGGCTTCTCGGCGGTCGGAGTCCAACGCCCCCCAAAACCTGCCCTAAGCACCCACCCGGCGTCAACGATGCGCTCGATCCCCCCAAACCCCGGAGACCCGCGGCGGCGCGAGGACCGGAGGAGGCTCGGCCCGCCGCAGGGCAGCCCTTCTTCGGGCTCCTGCGAGCCACCGCGTGCCCTTGCCCGGCCCCACCGCTGCCCTTGCCCGGCACCGTGCCACCCACGCACCGGCAGCAGGCAGGGCGGCCCGGGGAGGAAGGATGGAGAGAGATTTACAGAGCCCGGCAACCACACTCACCATCTTGCTGCTGCCGCCGAGGCCAAAGAGACCGGAAGAGGCAGCACTTCCGCTACTTGCCTTGGATAAGCGTCCGCCCGGGGAACTACTTCCGGTAGGCCAGGTGCAGCACTCTCAAGCCTCCGGCGCAGGGGCGGGTTAGGGACCGTGGAGCCAGGGAGCCAATCGCGCGCCAGCGCCTGGAGGGGGCGTGGCTAGCGCGTCCGACTCCACCCTCTTGAGCGCCAGAGGCTCCCCCGGAGAAGGAGGAGTGTCCAGAGCTGTCTTCGGCCGCTGCGGCTTTTGCAAATTCTTCTGCCTCTGTCCCTGTCCGCTGCAGAGTTTGCATTCCAGTCTGGGCCCACGGCGTGGGTTCCCGTCGCGGGGCTCGAGGGGAGTTGCACATTCTGCGTGACATCGCCCCTGGCTGTGTGTGCAGTGAGCGGCTGGGACTGGGATCCCGATGCGGGGAAGCCAGCCAGCTTCCCAGGTTCGTCTTCATTGGGACGCTCGCTAGCCCTTCCTCCCCGCAAGGGTAGGAACTTAGCCTCTGACTCGGGCAGACTTGTTTTCGTGCAGTAGTAATTCAGAGGCAGATAGTTTGATCCCATACAAGGAATCGCACTCAGAACTTGTTAAATAACAGTTTCCAGTGCGCTGCCATCAGGAAACCTGATCCTTCAGGCTCGAGTACTGCTTGGAGGTCTGCGCTGTAAAAATGGTTCTCTAGATCGTTCTGAAATTAGTAACTCCAGACTTGCTTGATAAACGCTAATGCATCTGTGGCCCGCAACCTCTTCCAGTACAAAACATGAGGAATATATACAAACATTTATGAACAGGGGAAATAATCTCGGCCATATCATCTATGTACTTTCTAAAACAAATGTGAGAATTACTAGTCTTATCACATGCAAAATCTTAGCTAATTGACCACAGAACAAGGTGAACGCTGAGGAATTGAAAGGTGTTTTTTTTTTTTTTTTTTTTTTTTTTTGCATGTTAAAAAATGGTACTTAAGTACTAGTTTCTTCTAGGGGTAGGGAGTAGAAATGCAAATACATGGTCATTTCCACTCCGAAATAGTGGACTGGAAGTAGAGGAGGGAGGAGATAGAGCGAACCCGAGAGAAAGAAAACAAACGTTTAAGTGGTTGAACTGAATAAATAAGTCTCAGGAGACTGTGTGGCAAGTTGCTACAAATTTAGTGGCACAAAGCACTGTAGATTTAGTCAATGGGAACAAAGTTTCAGTTATAGGAAATGATTTCTAGTGTACCTGCAGATCACAAAGTTGTATTGCATACTTAGAAATCTTTTTTTTCCCCCTTTTGGTTTTTTGAGACAGGGTTTCTCTGTGTAACAGTCCTGGCTGTCCTGGGCTTTGAAAAATAAGATTTGTGAAGGAGTAGAATGGGCATGAACCACCAAGGAGCCCACCCCTGAGGGAGATGTCAGTGCCTTTAGTAAACCAAGACATACCTAGAACTGAAGACATCAGACAGTGAAATATTTTTTTCTTCACCATAATGTGAGGTAGTTCTTTTTGATGTGCTAGAAACCTGAAATTTATGCTCCAGAGGCTTAGGAAGTCCCTTAGAGTTTCCAGGTTTCTACCCAACAGCTAGGTTTAGGTAGGTCAGCAGCAGCTGAGCACTATTTTTTCTTGTTTTCCTTTTCATTTTTAAGATAGGGTCAATGGGGGCTGGGGAGATGGCTCAGAGGTTAAGAGCACTGGCTGCTCTTCCAAAGGTCCTGAGTTCAATTCCCAGCAAAGGTCCTGAGTTCAATTCCCAGCAACCACATGGTGGCTCACAACCATCTTTAATGAGATCTGGTGCCCTTTTCTGGCCTGCAGGCATACATGCAGGCAGAACACTGTATATATAACAAATAAATACTAACATTAAAATATTTTTTTAAAAAGGTTGGGTCTGTGTTGCCCAGGTTGGTCTCAAACTTCTGAGGTCAAGTGATCCTCCTGCCTCAGCCTCTCAGGTGCTGGCAGGCATTGTAGACACATGCTACCACATCCAGTTAGGCCAGTTTCTGAAACAGTGATCTGTTTTGTGTTGTTGAGACAAGGTCTCTGTAGCATTGGCTGGCCTGGAACTGGCTATGTAGACCATGCTGGGTGAGAGCTCATAGAGATCTGTATGCTCTGCTTTTGGAGTCATGAAATTAAAGGAGTATGTCACCATAACCAGCTTCAAATTAAGACTTTTGGCCTAGGTGCTCACTCTCTACCATTTTGCTCTTTGGCAGATTTAGAAACCATGTTAAAGCCGGGTGGTGGTGGTGCACAACTTTAATCACAGCATTTTGGGAGGCAGAGGTAGGTAGATCTCTGTGAGTTCGAGGCCAGCCTGGGCTACAGAGTGAGTTCCAGGAAAGGTGCAAAGCTACACAGAGAAACCCTGTCTCAAAAAAACAAAAATAAACAAATAAATAAATAACCATGTTAATCCTAAATCTTGAATTTAAGATCCTGATAAAAATCAAGTTTTGACCACCAACAATTAGTGGTAGGTCAGTTCCCCCTACTTCCTTTTTGATGGAATTCATGTTTTTTTTTTGTTTTTTTTTTTTTACTGAAACATATTTTCAGGTAATATTTGATCATGTTTTTCCCTTCCCCAAATTCTTCCCATATTCTCCTCATCTCCCTACCCATTCAACTTTATATTCTTTTTCTCTCTTTATTTAAAAAAGCAAATGAAAAACAAACAAGAAACGCAACCCCATCCCCACCAAAAAAACAAAAAAAACAAAAAAAACAAAAAAAAAAAACCACAAACATGAAAATCAAACAGATCGGTAAGTCAAAAAATGCCACCTCCTGGGCATGGGGCCTGCTCTGGAGTGTTGATATACCCAGTGTCGCTCCATTGGTGAGAACTGATTTTCCCTCTGCCCGCATTTATCAATTGCGGGTAACTTTTTGGTTACGGTTGGGACCCCATGTCCACTTCTCCCTCTCAGTGCTAGGACCTCCATCTGGCTTGAACCTGAGCAAGTCTTTCATGTGCTGCCGCAGCCTCTGGGAGTTCATATGTGCATGAGTCCTGTTGTGTCTGGAAGAGTTTCCTTGGAGTCATCCATCATGTCTAGTACATGCAATTTTTCTGCCTCCTCTTCCAGATAGATCCCCGAGCCTTGATAGAAGGGGTTTGAGGAAGACATCCACTTAGGGTGGTGAACTCCAAGGTCCATCATTCTCTGCACATTGTCCAACTGTCTCTGTTCGTTCCCATCTACTGCAAGAGGAAGGTTGTGTGATGTGGGCTGAGCAAGGCACTGATCTGTGGCTATAGCAATATGTCATTAGGAGTCATTTTATTGCTATGCTCCTTTATCAGAACAATAGTAGTAGATTTTCCCGCTAGGTCCATGACCTCTCTGGTTTCAGGTCCTCGGCCACTCAGGCATTGTCAGATATCGGTACCATCTCTTGGAGTGGGCCTTTAAGCCCATCAGAAGATTGGTTATTTCTATAACATTGGTGCCACTATTACACCGGTATGTCTTTCAAGCCAGTCACTGCTGTAAGTCACAGGCTATGTAGCTGGGTGATGATTGCCTTTCTCCTCTCGTAGTGTGCACAGTGTTTCCAGTGCTGTCAATACTAGTTAGTAGGGGTGAAGCTTCTGCTTGCTCATCACCTTGACTTCTCTATGTTTGATGACGTAAGTGATTTGGGAGGCAGAGGCAGGTGTATCTCTTGTGAGTTTGAAGCCATCCTGGTCTACACAGTGAGTTCCTGGACAGCCAGGGCTTCATTAGAGAGACCCTGTCTCAAAAAATTCATTTAAATAGAAAATTATGTTGTGTGTATGAGTGTTTTGCCTGCATGTGTGTATGTACACCACACACATGCCTGCTGCCAGCAGAGTTCAGAAGAAGGCACTGGAGTTCCTGGAACTGGAGTTATGGTTGGTTGTGAGCCACTATGTGGGTCCTGGGAATCAAACCCGGGTCCTCCGTAGTAGCAATAAGTGCTCTTAATTGTTGAGACATCTCTCCAGCCCAAAGTATATTAGTGTTTAAAGTACAAAATATAAACCCATTCATAATCTCATCCTCAGAAGTAGCCAGTATTAAAATTTGGAGTATCTTTTGATTATCTTATAAAAATGTTTGCTATATGTATGTATATGTACATATACATATGCTATGCACATACTTTTTTTTTTTTTTTTCTGAGACAGGATCTCACTATACTACTCTGGCTGACCTGGAGCTTGGTATGTAAATCAGACTGGCCTCTGACTCACAGAGATCCCTCTGTCTCTGCCTTCCTAGTGTTGAGGTTAGAGGCATGTGGCACCATGCCCAGCTTACTGTTTTTTTTTTTTTTGTTTGTTTGTTTGTTTTTGTTTTTGTCTGCTTATTTTTGAGACAGGGTCACAGTATATAGCCCTGAATAGCCTGGAGCTCTCTATGTAGACCACATTGGCCTCAAATGCACAGAAATCTGTCTGCCTCTGCCTCCCAGTGCTGAGATTGAAAGTATACACTACCATGCCCAGATTGTTTCTTTTCTTTTCCTTTTTTAAAAAATGGGATCTATAACTTGCTATTTTCCAAAATATTATAATGTGAGTATTATGATTTATCAAGTTCTACTTTATCCTTTTTAACAGTCTAGTAGGAAGCTGGAGAGACAGCGTAGCAGTTAAAAACACTGGCTGCCCTTCCAGGGAACCAGGATTCAATTCCCAGCACACACATGAC